TCTCCCCTCCCCTTTTCTAAAAATGCCTCTCCACTCTCAGAGCCCAGAGGATGGCCCCCATCCGGGAGCAAGACGGTGGAATATAAGCCTCTCGTTGCCCGGGAGCGGAGCCATGCCTTAGACGCCCGCCTCCTCTCCGCTTGCCGGACGCCTCTCGTCGCCCTCGGAGCGGCCATGAGTTTCCCCCAAGAGGACGGGGTGGGCAGCTTGTGCCACAAGGCGCTGCAGATCATCTCCGAGCTGTGCCTGGGCGGGAAAGTGGAACTGGAGAAATGCTCGGGCATCTTCCCGCTGGAGACCAGCAGCCAAGGTATAAGCAGCCCAGGTAGAGTCGCTCCTTCCGGGCTCTCCCGGGCGCCGTCGAGGGTGGATTTGGTTGTGTGTGTGTTTGTTTGTTTTTCCCCTCCTCTCTCTCTCTCTCTCTCTCCGGCTCGGGTCCGTGTGGTGGCGGCGATCCTTTTGCCTCTGCCTGGCTTCCCGAGGAAGGCGGGAGGACTAGGCACGAGAAGGCGCGGGGGCGCGGGTGGAGAGTAGACACGCGTCTCCGCGAGTCACGGTAGCCGCGGCAAAGCGGGGTTGAGTGGGCGTCCGGGAAGTTCAACTTCCCCTTCTTGCTTCCTGGGCCTTTCCTTTTCAAAGTTGTCTGGGAGGAAAGACGAGGCGGGCAAAAGAAGGACCGGCAAGGGGTTTGGGACTCCTCTTCCCATAAGCCCCGGGCACTGGCCCTGCTTGGATCGGGGCGATGGGATTTGTAGTCCGGAGCCCTTAGAAGGGGGCAAGGGCAGAACCAACCGGAGCAGCGTTATCTTGGGGCTTGGGGGGGGACCTCTCGGCTGTGAAGGGTCGGGGGAACGGATTGCGATCCCGCGCAGCCAAAGAGGCGCGGAGGTGGGCAAGGGACTCCCCCCTCCCCCAAATTGAGTCTGGAAAGATTTGGGGCCAGGGAGAGATGGGTTATGTTTCTTTTCCCGTCCCCCCAAAGAAAACTCCTGCAGAAGTTCGAACGCGCTACCTCGGATCTCGAGCAATTGTTGGGAAATCTTTTATTTTCATTAGTCATCTGTTTGGTGTCAGGCTGGAAAACCTGTGAGTGTGTTTGTTTGTTTGTGTGTGTGTGTGTGTGTTTACTTGCTTGTTCAAAAAAAAAAACAAAACG